GGTGGAACTGATTCGGCTTGTTTTTAAAGCAAACGCCAAAGATAAAACCGTTGACAGAGGTACTAGTAAGTAGCAAGACCGCCTGGACAGACGGTACGGGTATTGTGCGTCAGTGGTTTTACTATGAACTCATCTATATCAGGTCGATCGATCTTGAGCTGCACGCTTTCATGTCATTCGATTCATTCCTGGATAATTTTGCTTTCTATCAGGAATGAATATATAAGGAGTTTTTGAACCTGACTTTTTATGCGTTTTGTGCTGTGTAACAAAAGCTCAGGAACCAGATAACACTAATGTATTGAACAACGAATGTTCTCAACAGGAAAACGTCCACTGGACGGTATGCGCCGTTGTTTATTCCTAATTATTAACTCGTAACTCACCTGATGTCCGTATGTCTCCAGCGCTTGACGTGACTTCACAATCAGCATTGATTCATCAGTCTCAAGCTGAAATAAGCAATTAGGCTGTTGACTCACAGTTTCTGATGTTTCCAGCAACACCTTAACTCGGGTTGTAAATATAGTTAACACAAAGCGCCCGAGACGATAAACCGTAGTGATTTTTCGTGCAAAACATGGAACTGCCGTGTGGTCACATAGTAAATTGATACTAACACAAGCTAGGGAAATAAAATCGCTGCCAAGCACGATTTCTACTTGAGCTTCCCAGTAATTCCTCCTCTCACAGAATATGGATAATGATTTTCCGACCCTCGTAGAGAGGGATACCAGTGCCTGGTCATTTTTTAGAGTTCCTGAACAGTCCATCTGTAGCAATTTTTGTGAACTTAAAACAGACAATTTGGCCTAAAATCTTAACAGTCATTTCTGTAACAGGAACCATTTTGCTGTATGAGAGGGGCGGGGGAGATCTCAAGAACTACTGTGCAGTCTGCTTACCATTCAAAATTTACGACGATTTACTACTGCTCTAATCGCGTCAGCAATTTGTTTAGGAAAAAAAAGTGCACGGAAAAGAGGGAAAAAGTACCTTAAAAGAGACGACGAAAGCTTCGGGTACAATGTCCTTGACCAGCTTCTTCAGCAGTTTTGGAACAACGCTGAGAGTTAGTTGGAGTCCTCCGCGACATGACTGGATTTTATGTTCCGGCTAAAATAAATCAATTTATTAATCAGTTGTTGGAAATATTGCGGGAAGCCCCAAATCATATTCGTAGCAGTCGTTCGGCACTCGTTGTTTTGTAAGATCTGATCTTTCCGACTAAAAACTTCTTTCGATATGTGTGAGTGCTTCAGGCAGCTAACTTAGCAGCATTTTTGTGATTGTTAATGTTCCCCGCACTGTCCGCAGCTGTTTAATTTGATGTCCATTCGGCTGGCGTTCCTGACGTTCGTTCTCTCTTTTTCTTTCGCTCCCTGTCCATATAAAATGTTAGAAATATTGTGATTCCTTTACAGCTTGCACGAACCTTCTAGTTCACTTTATACCAAATTTCCCATGCGTTACCCGTAGATGCAATAATCGTTCAGAAGTCCCAAACGCACTGGAAATTATGAGAAAAGCTGAAAGATAGAACTTTCTTCTATATTTGTTCCCTGTGAGACGAGGGCAGTCGAGATAGCAAATGCCAAGAGCAATCATTTGCTGACATGGCTTTCTTTGGCTCCTATTGAAAACTGATTCAAAGCAAGCTGATGGCGGGTTTAATTTTTTGGCATACGCCAGTACCAACCATCGAAACGAATGAACGAATCGTATACACGGTCCGTGCTGCACTAGATCAGAAGGAATAGAATACGACCGTCACTTCGAAGTGAGGAAGTACTGTCTACAGGATTTGCTCCACATGTTATCCAAAAAAGGCATATTTTCAGGATTTCAAATTTTAAATGATCTTTAAATGATACCAAATTATCCTCGGAAAGATAAAAGTCGGAGACGGCAGCTGCGAGATAAACTAGAACAGATGGGCCGAAAGGCCGAAGACGCGTACATATTGCTTCGAGCAACGATAGATACACTGATACATCATCAAATGAGATCATTAGTAAGCGATCCGAACATTCCTGGCGTAGCTTGATAGCTTCCACCAACCCCGGCATGCCCCGTACTGCAAATTCAATTTTTTTAGAAGATAAGAAAGTAAAGATATTTAAACAATACGGTGAATCGAAAAATTAGTTCCAAGGTACCAAAACAGTGAATTACGGTATAAAAAAATGTTTCGAAAAAACAATGATTTATATTGCTACAGCGCTTTCCTAGTGTCCCTACTGTTTGATGGATGCAAGGTGTTTGAATACACATTTCTGAGTTCGAAGTTTCCGTTTTC